GGAGGAGGAGGAGGAGGAGGAGGAGGAGGAGGAGGAGAAGGAGGAGGAGGATGAGCCCGAGCAGGAGCAGGAGCAGGAGCAGGGTGAGGAGAGAGGGTCGAGGAAGAGCAGGTGGAGTATGAGGAAGGATGATGGCGAAGAGGAGGAGGAGCAGGCGAGGACGATGGCCAGGAGGAGGAGGAGGAGGAGGAGGAGGAGGAGACCAGCGTACCCAGAGGTCAGCTCCCCGCGCCTAGCACGGCGCCTGCGGCAGCAGGGGCACGCCTCCTGTCGAAGCTGTTGTAGCTGAGGCCGCCGAAGCTGCGGCACACGATGAACGGCGGATAGCCGTCGAATTTATATCATTTTCATTCAGAGGATGTTGAGAGCGGGAGGGAGCGGGAGCGCAAGCGAAGGTGGCGTGATTCGATGGCGGCGGGGCAGGATTCAAGCGGGGCGCGCAGGCGCCAACGAAGGGCGGGACGGGCGACGAACGCCAAGCGGGGAGGGGAGAAGGGGAGGAGCACGCAGCAGCACCAGCAGCTCTCAGACGGAGCAAAGGACCGAGAGAGGGAGGAGACAAAGAGAAATGAACAGGCGCGTGGGGGGACCAGGCCAGAGGGGGAGCAGAGGAAGACAGAGGGGCGGTCGAAAATATACTGCGACGGACAGGCCTGAGCGCGTGGGGAGAGGAGCACTGAGCGACGGGGGAGAGAAAGTGCTCAGAGCGGGAAGGGGTCCACGACGCGGATCGCGGGGAGGGAGGAGATAGTCTCAGAGAACTCGGCGTGGCCGAAGGTGCACGACCCGTGGCAACACAAGAGGAAGGCGTCGCCATTCGAGAAGCACATAGGGTAATCGGCGTCGACGGGATGGCCATCAGGGTACGGGGGGAGCTAGAAGAGATCCCAGGCAATGTCATCGAAGGACATGAAGCCAGTCCCGACAAGGCCATTGGAGCACAGGGCGCCGAAGGAGCAGCAGCACGCACAGGAGTCGTCGCCAGAATACACCCCAGACGAGAGCGTCGCACGACCAGAGACGTCACAGAGCCAGAGACCGTCCCCTCGCAATTTACTCTAGCCTGCGGCAAAGGGTTCGAGGAGCACCCCTGCGCAGGACTTTGCGTTCTGATGGCCGTCCTCCAGTGAGACCACTCCTCGCAATTCACTCCAGATGCCTGAAGCGACGGGCTCGAGGAGCACCCACCGCCAGGACTTAGCGTTCTAACTTCCCGTGTCGCAACTCCAGGAGACAGATGCAGCAACTCCTCGCAACTTACTCTAGATGCCTGGGCACCTGGGCTCGAGGAGCACCCATTGCCAGGACTTAGCGTTCTGACATTATCTGCACTCCACCACCGCGGTGACGAATGAGCCTGCTCGAGGAGCACAGGACTTGGAGTTCTGCCAGATTCGAGGCCGTCGAGGTCGTCGATGTGTCCGACTCTGGAGGGCGTCGCTATCAGAGTCGTTGGGGTACCAGGTATGGAGGGAGTAGAGACACTGCCGTCATCGTTGTGAAACGTGGGAACAAGCCGCGGGGCGAGACACGGTGGTTGACCATCATTCCTGCCCATGCTAGGTCCAGAGCACCATTCTTCATCAGTGTCGTCGCGGGGCTCGCTGTCCGAGGTCTGGCTCAACGAGGTGTGTCCATGCCCACCAGCGGCCACTCCATCACCGTCATCGGGATCTCCAGGTTGATCGGGATGCAGCTCTTCATCCTCAGCATCGCAAGATGAGGTCGAAGAGGTCGACGAGGGTTGCGGTAGGCGGCGGAGGATCAGTGCCTCCGGAGGCTGCCATTTCTTTTGCAGTTGAGCATCAGGCTTGGCCAACCTCAGGTTTCTGACTGCAGCGCGCGCGCTAGATCGAAGGTCATTAGCGGTGACGTATAACCGAAAGCGCATATTGTGGTAAATGTTGAAGGCCACCGCCAAGGTTTCGACATGCATGAAGCCAGGAAGCCGAAGCCCCAGGCGATCAGGAAGGAGCGGATGCATCTCATATCCCAGCGCTTGGTACACAGCCGTCCACAACGGACGGCATCGCATGTAATGGTACTGTCGATCGGCATGCTCACGGCAACCAAAGATACACGAGCGGGAGCCTCCAGCATACTTTATGCGCGAAGAAGTAAGCCATCCCGAGCAGTAAGTTTTAATGACAGGCATGGCCCAGCTCATGGGAACCAGCGAGAGAAGTCCACCAATCTCTGTCCACGCCACACGATCAAGAAACGGCTCCCATTCATGTACATATTTCAGAAGGCGTCGCTGCATCAACGAAGCAAGTGGGAAAGGCGTCACCAGCATCTCCCGAAGAGCACGTGTGGCTGCACGTTGAGGCTTGGGCTTCCTGTCGGTGACCTGGAGCTCCTGGGCGATAGCTTGCACGCACCTGTCAGCGATCTCAGCGGGGTAAGCCGCCTCTCTGCCAGGGTGGAGAATCGAAGCATATCCCAACAAGAACGACGGGGATTGCCAGTGCGTGCCAATATGGTCAAGTGCATCTTCACGTGCTCGGATCGCCGCCAGTGGCGCATCATCGTATCGGCCCTCCATGAGTGAATATCTCCATTCAGACTCAAGCTGCCGGAAGCGATCAAGAATGGTAGTGTGGTTGGAAAACGTGACTAAGGCGGCTCGAGCATAGGCAGCAGCGCACGAGTGAAGCAACAGGGGGACACGAGGGCCACCCCATTCGCCAAGTTGGGCCCTGCCAGCCGTAGTGAGCATACCAAGGGGGGCTCTGAAAACCTGCGCAAGAATCCCCAATTCCAGAGCAGCGCGTCGTTGAGGGAGCGGAACAAATTGGGCCACATAGGAGACCACTGAGAACACCCTGGACGAATACAGTACACCGTTGATACTAGCGGGGGCAGCCCCAGACCCAAGCAGGCGGGCCCGTAATTTGAGCTTCTGCAACGGTGCGAGCCACTGCATGTCAACTGTGACGGCGGGGCCCAGCAGGAGGCCCAGGTAGAGGACGTGGGAGGCCACTTCGAAGGCGCGCCAGGCAGGGACGAGGCGCTCCACGAGGGACATTGTGTGGAGCTGGAGGGACTCGGTGAACTCCCCCTTGAGCGGGACGATTTTGCACTTCAGGGGCTTGAGCTTCAGCCCTGTGAGACACTCCGTGACCACCATCACATCATACAGCACATTGAGGTGCCTTGCTTCATACACTACCGCTCCTATATCATCAGCACACGCACGAGCAATACCATATCCAGGAGTCTCCAGGGTATCCTCCAGCGCACAGAGAAAGGGGGCCGTGCCGAGGGCGTAGAGGCTCCCTGAGAGCCCACATCCTTGAATAATCCCAGACCGCAACCAGTATATAGGGATAAGCTGGCCAGCATGGGCCACCACTCCTTGGATCGCTAGGTACAGCCACGAGAGGAACCACATGAGGGGCCCAGGAAGCCCGAGCTTATTCATCAACATCAGCAGATACTCTTGGGAAAGACTGGGGAACGCCTGGCCATAATCAAACGAGATCAGGAGGGGGTCGCACAGGTCGGAGCGAGGGCGAGCAGCGGCAAGCCTTCCTATGCCGTCGAGTTCGATCACATTGTATCCGAAGTTACGGCCGACCACAAACCCCCTTTGCGAGTAGGGAACCACCTCCTCCACCACTTTACGGAGCGATCGGTTGACAACAGAAGTCATGATTTTCAGGTCGGTATTTCGCAGCCCGAGCACTCGAATTTTGTCAGCTGATCGCGTGCAGCCTCCAGAGGCCTCGTCCTCCTCCTCAGATCCTTTGGGCAAGAAGGCCTGCAACGTGACACTCGCGGCATCGAAGAGGGTCCCCCCGCCGAGCACCCAGTCGAGGGTGTTGCACAAGACGTCGACACAGCAATCAGAAGCATTCCATGCGGCATAGGGGATGCCGTCCACACCTGGGGCAGAGTGCCGCGCACCTCGCACAGCTCGACGGATGGCAGCTTTAGTGGGAGGTGGGACTTCGCATTGGATGGGGGCTTTCAGGCGATCCTGGAGGTAGGCCTCTACGCGGGGGCCTGGGACAGAGCCTCGGGAGAAGACAGGGCGCCAGTAAGTACTCAAAGCTTGAAACCGATCTTCAGGCGAGTGTGACAGGACGGGCCCGGACCGAACCGTCTGCAGTATGAGCCGGCGAGAGAAAGGGGCCCAGATGGCCGCCTTCCGTTCCAACAGCTGCTGACGACGGCAGGCGGAGAGGGGACGGTGAGAGGCAGAGAGACCAGCGGCATGATCAGCATTGGCTTGCAATTCTTTTTCCAGAAGCCGCATGTGGACTCCATCCGACCAAGAATGAAATGATTCAGCATGTCGAAGACGAACTTGTGAGCCTTCAATTTGCAGTGAGTCTGATGCCCACTGCGATGTCGAAATAAGTCGCCGAGCCAGTGGGACGTCCTGACGCCAGACGGCTCGGGCGCAGCTGCGGGCCACGATGATCGCCGTCTCATCACTCTCCGCCTTCAGCGTGAAGAGCATGTCGCGCACCTCCCGCGCAGCCTCTTTGAGCATCTCTTTGAAATGCTCCTGATAAATAGAGCCAGCATGTGCAGAAATAGCGTTCTGGCCATCAGCAGCCATCCCCTCGATACGCTTCTTGAAGAGCGGGTCATGGAAGATGTGCCGCGGAATAGCTTGTTCTCCCCGAGGCTTGTGATGTCGCTGGCGTAACGTGGTCACCAGCGCGGCATGATCTGATATTTGAGCACGGGACAACGCCTCTGGCTCACCGACCGTGGTGGATTCAGCATGTACCTGGCATAGCATCCATCCTGGTAGCGAACAAAAGAACCTGTCGATGCAACTGACAGAGTTGGTATGCTTCGTATAGTGAGTAGCCACCGACGATGAGACTTCAAGGAGCGCCCCAAGAGAGCGCAGCCAACGAGCAGCTTGGGCACGATGATTCCGAGGATCAGAAGCACGCGCAGGCAGCGGGCGATGGAGCACTAGAGCTTCGTCGGGGCCAAAATTTAGGTCGCCTTGCACAATGACCAGGTGGTGGGTAGGGTCAGACGCAGCCGCGACCCGATACCTATCGATCTGCTCACAGACCATGTCCACCTGGGTGCTTGTGAGGCCGTGGTTGTGTATATTGAAATGCGTCAACTGAAAGCCACGTCTATGCACATCAACTTGCAGGACCCTTCCTGGGATGAGCGGCGTGGCACAGCTAGACGATGCTCCGTCAAGAGCGAGTCGAGGAAGAATGGTAGCGACTCCTCCCGCACCCGATCCCCCTTGATCGACTGCACAAAATGAGGCGTGGACTACTGCATGGGCATGGGCTTGGAGCACGAACTGCTCCAGCTGGACACGATCGGCATGAACTTCCTGCATCGCCAGCAACGTGGACTGCAGGTGGATCTGCTGTAGATATCGTAACTTGGGGATAGCTTTCGCCCCTTGGTACTGCAGGAGCGCCCTCGCGTTCCAGGTAGCACATCTAAGAGCGGAGCCTCCATCTCTGGATTGAGGAAGGGTGAACATCTGCATCATCTCGTTAAAGGCACCACTGCGGCGGCGGTGGTGGTGCAATGGTGGACTGAACCAGCTCACGTACCTCGTGCTTGGCAATGCCGACTTCACTAAGGCCCTCGTCGTTGTAGAAGATGTCGAAGGGCTGGTCATCAGGCTGGGCGGAGAGCTTGAGGATGTGCGTCCACCCACAGCGGAGGACCCCACGCTCCCTATCCACAACCCAGCGTCCGTCGCATTTGCCCGCCATGGCTGCGCGAAGCTTCCTGAGCGCCATTTCCGTTTTAATTTGCTTTGGATTTTTGTCTGGTCCGAGATGGAGACGAGCGGGGGTAGAGCCTGACACCTCGGCCTCGAAGATACGCCATTCATCGTTCTGCCTGAGATTGGATAAGACCTTGTTGACATACTTGGACGCGAGCCCAACGCTGCCGTTGAATGAGACGAGGTACCTTCTGCTTGGCATCGGACCAGTGGACTTGATAGTGAAAGACGATGCGTCCAAGCCCAACTCCGCCAAGAAAGGGGAAAGTGATGCACGCACAGACTCGATCCCAACCATTTTCGTGGCCATGGCGACGACAACAGAGGGGTCTTCCACGCGATCGAAGGAGGGCGGTGCCGTAGGTGCCTTCTCTGTGCGCTTGGCGACCATGAGTTCGCCGCGGAGCTCCTCCATCTGCTTACGTAGGTTGGCAATGTCTGCGGTGTGCTTCTCAAAATCAATCGAGAGCGTGTTGACGTGGGAACCAAGGGAGTCAATCTTGGACTGCAAGCCGCGGTGAATGGAATCGATGTGGGGGCGAACAGTGGCCATAATCTGCTGGTCGACCTCTTTCGGCTGAGGCGTGATCTGGACGCGCACGGACTCCAGTGTGTCGAGAATAGATTTGTTGGAAGATTGCACAGTCGCGCCGACGGTAGATCCAACCAGTGATTCCAGTTCGGACCGTAGCTCTCCGAATTGTTCAGCAACTGCGTTGGCTGCGACGTGCCTGATATAGTCATCATCATATTGAGGCTGCTGATGTGGAGGCTGGGCAGGGTCACGAGGGACACCAGCAGGAGAGGAGCCAGGAGTACACTGAGAATCGCCACGACCGCCGAAGAGAGCTGAGCCGACTGCCCCAGCTGCGCGGGCAGCCATGCCTGCGACCCCTTTGCCACTGGCGTTGCCGCCTTTGCCGTCCTCGGTGCGCGGGTACTTGGGCTCAGGCGAGCCCCGATCATGGCGGCCATCAGCACGATCATCATCAGGAAAGGTGGGCATGTCATCGAGCTCCTGGGCAACCTGGGCGAGCGAAGCAGCGTCGGGAAGCCCCATGGTGACTGAGACGCTCGACAGCACAGGAACGGGAAACACCTCCGTTTACCCGTGGGGGCGAGCGCCAGGACGAGGGACAAACTCTGCCAGACCGCCAAGGGTCTTGTCAGCCGCGGACTAGCGGTATCCACTTGTTCCCCTGTGGAACCATGCATCTTGAGCCAAAATGGCTACGGTGGGGAGGAGGAGGAGGAGGAGGAGGAGGAGGAGGGAGGAGGGAGGAGGGAGGAGGGAGGAGGAGGAGGACACGAGGGAGGGCGGTGGCACGAGGGACGAGGACGGGCGCGGAGCTCTTCGATGCCCCCTGGTCCGCAGGGTCTCGCCGTCGCAGATGTCCGAGAGGCACACGGCGCAGGACAGCTCCTCGTCGGCGCCGTGGCACTCGTGGATCGCCGTGCCCAGGGCGCTGATCTGGTCCTCGGTCGCCGCGACCATCTTCGGGGCTTCATCCTCCTGGCGCAGGCCACATGGTGAGGGCATTGGATAAGACACCCTTGGATAAGCGGGACCTGGAAGCCGGTGGAACACCAATCGAGGCTTGGCCACGGTTATTACCGCCACCCTTCTCAGATAAGTGACCCTCCAGGGTCTGAAGCCCCCTGGGCACATTCCTTCACGAACGCCCCCACCGTGCACAGCCCAGGAGGCCTCCCAGCATCCTGGGCCCAGGAAGGGGCCCAACAACAACGTCCAAGAGTAATTACGTCGGCCCTCGAACCTCGATCCTCCTACCCCAGGCCACGCTCGTCCGCGACCCGTTGCCCCCTCTTTGAACTACCGTGGAGGCCAGTCCACGCAAGAAACCCAACCCTGAGACCACAGGACGTCCATTGATTTTTGATGTGGGTACGGCACGCTCTCCACGGCAAAAGCCTCGAAACACAAGAAATCCAGAGCACCCTGGAGGCAAGCAGGGCTTTTCTTGGCACGGGCCTCCACTGTACATATGGCCCATACGATGAGAGGTCTGGCTGTGCGTGGGCGACCTCGGCAACCCTGAACCCAAAAGCGTTTTCATCTCTTGGGGGGGCGCAACGTTTCACTTCCGCCACCTCCCGCTGGCCTTCTGCCGGCCTCCGCCGGCGGAGGCGGCCTCGTTTCACTTCTGCCGACCTTCCGCCGCTTCCCGCCGCGGAAGAGATGACAACTCCTTCGATCCTCGAAGGCAAGGCCGTTTCTGGAACGCCTCGTGTAAGATATCACGGGGCACATTCCCCGTCGATCTCTATGGGCCCCAAGACGACCCAGAGGGGCCATCGAAGGATCGGGCATTTCCGTGGGGCATCCGCTGGCTGGTCGATGTCTTATTTGATGTGCCTGCTGTGAGCACACGCCTGCACCCATCTCGAGGCAGCCCGAACGATGTCCATGATCGCAGACCGCTTGCATGACCGAGTCGCCCGAAACGAGCCCCGTACGATAAGGGGAACCTCCTCCGGGGGTGTGCTTTCGAATAGCCCCTCCCCCAACGAGTCGGTGGTGGGGGTTCGACCGCCGCTACTCGCCCCGAGAACGACGGCAAACGACGCCCACGACAACGACAACGGCTGACGACGACAATGACGACGTTGACGCTGGCGACGAAGACACTGACGACAGCGCCGACGACGACGCTGACGCTGACGACGACGACGACGACGACGACGACACTGACGACGACGACGACGACGACGACGACGACGACGACGACGACACTGACGACGACGACGACACTGACGACGACGACGACGCCGACGCCGACGCCGACGCCGACGCCGACGACGACGACGACGACGACGACGGCGACGACGACGACGAGGACGACGAAGACGACGACGAGGACGACGACGAGGACGACGACGCCGACGCCGTCGCTGACGCCGAGACGAACGACGACGCTGACGACGACGACGCCGACGCCGTCGCCGACGCCGACGACGGCGAGCACAACGAAGACGAGCCCCAACCTCCTCAAGCGCCCACAGGAAACGCTCTCTCGAATCGATCGGCGCCACGCGCAGACGTCAGCACGACCTCGGGAGGCCAGGAAACAGACAAAGACACCTCGAAACAGACACCCTCGACTCTCCAACCTCAAGCATCCTCCCTATTTCCTCCTGAAGGTGATTGGAGGCCTGTGCATGAGCACCAACACCAACACAGGGGGATGCCTCCTCAGGGGCAAGATGATCTTTAATGTTGGTGTTGGTAATAATACTTCGGCCTCCTCGGAAGCCCGAATATTACCACCATCACCGGGATCGGGAACATCTTCCCTCGGTGGAGACACACAGCCGATCTCGGTGTTGGTGTCAACCTCTCGTCGCAAGCGCCGGCCCGAGGAGGAGGGGAAGCAGGGGAGGAAGGGAAGGGGGGGGGGGGGTTCGAACCCCCCCCCTCCATGCAGGGGGGACGGGGGGTCCGGTTTCAACCCCCCCCCTCCAAGCGACCACAGAACGCGCTCTTTCCAACCTCTAGGCCTCCGAGAGATGTTTGTCATCAACGTGCTTTCGAGTCGATGTCGACATCGGGACACCCAGAGCTGGAAAGAAAGCGAGACCATCAACACTGCATAGCATATCATACCATATCATCTCGTGATGCTCAGCCTGGATATCCCCATCCGTCGGGACTCTGGGGACCTTACTCGCGACGAGACTATCCAGACCTGGGGGGAATACGGGGGGAGGGGGGGGAGCGGGCATGTGAACCATGGAGCGCCACCCGTTGGCAGATTGGAGCCCCCCTCCCCCTAAGGACGCTGAAGTGGCTCTGGGGTGCATCATGGGTAACCAAGAAGCAACCACTACGACCGGACGGACATTGGTAGTCGTCTACTGTGGAGCCTGGTCGAACTACTGGGGTACCATGTGGAAGCTGGGACTGCGGGGATGGTGTGCACATCCGTTGCCAGCAGTTTGGCAGCCCAAAGTCCCGAACCAGAGGGGGGGGACAGAAGGGGGAACAAGGGAACAATAGCAGCAATCCTCCTGATCCCTCCTCCTCCTCCTCCTCCTCCTCCTCCTCCGCCTCCACCTCCACCTCCTCCTTGTCCTCCTTGTCCTCCTTGTCCTCCTCCTCCTCCTCCTCCTCCTCCTCCTCCTCCTCCTCCTCCTCCTCCTCCTCCTCCTCCAATGTTCAACACGGGGTCCCCGGAGGTCTCGACCTTGTCCCCCAGACCGCTGTTTCATGCCGAAGCGTTTTTTACGGTCCTGGGGCCCGCGAAGACCCACTGAGGCCCGCTGTGCTGTCAGCATCGCCCTCCACGTCCTCCGCCATCCCTTTCCCCATTATCGAACAACTCATCCCCGTCGCACCCCCAGACGTGTGGGTCGGGCGTGCCGGGCGTTTCGCCTGGGAGTTCATCCCCACGTATGACCCCGAAGCCTGAAAACTGAAACAGCTACACGGGTGGAAGGCGGGCCGTTTTCAAAATGTGGCTCTCGCCTTGGTGCCGCGCGTATTCGCCTTAAATGCTGCAATCGATCTACGGATTTAGGCAGACCCTTTTCAAATCGCGGCTCTCGATTTAGCGCCACGCACATTCGTCTTGAAAGTTTTCTGCAGTGTCGAGGATTCGTATGGCTGGAGTCCCAGGAACGGAGATCCGACACGTTTAAGGACTGTCAGGACGCAACAGTCTCGTTGACTCGCAGTGCTGAAATCCCAGGAACGGTGTCCTGACATGATTTAGGATTGTCGGGGCGCAAGAATCACGTTAATCTGCTGCGTTAAAACCACCAGAATGGTGTTCTGACGCGACTGAAGACTCTCAGACGGTTTTCATACAATGGGCCACTTCCCAAAAATATATTATTGTAGGGTTCCATGAAGAGGGAACCTGGGGGGAGGGTTTATCGCAGCATCGTTGATGCGTCTTGGGGTGACACCGGTCCTCCTCCCCCTCCTCCTCCTCCTCCTCCTCCTCCTCCTCCTCCTCCTTCCCCTCCTCCTCCTCCCCCACCTCCCCCTCCCCCTCCTCCTCCTCCCCCCCCTCCTGCGGAAGCGGCTCTTGCGTCCCTCGGTTCCTGGCTGGTCTGCGGGAAGTAGGCCCGGAAGCCCGCGAAGGCGCAGAAGACGCGAAGCGCGGAGGTCCCAAGCGTCGCCGCCACCGTGCGGATGAGCCACGGGCAGGCCTCAGTCCGAGGACAGGGGATTCTAGCACATGAGCATAAACCTTTCGGAGGTCCGCGCAACGGTTCTGGATCGGCGCTGGACCTCCTCCCTGGCGCGCGGAGCGCGCCAAGGGCGGCGCCCGAGGCGCCGCCATTGTGGGTCCAGCGGAGCTCCAGGAAGTACGCGCAGACCTCCGAAGTGCAAGTTTATTCCGACCTTATCTCTGGAAGGATCGACAACAATGTCGATATCCTTTTTCTAGGAGTTCTTTGTGCATTTCTGGAGGTCCTAGTCGCAGCGATCGAAGAGTCGGAGGGTCTGGTCTATAAAAGGCCCTGGAGGCTCTGGGGATATAGATATAGAAGGTCCTTGGGCACTTCTGGAGGCTCTGGAGGATATGGAAAAAGCTCGAGAAACCTGCCATGATGCGCGGACTTTGAGCGGATCTGGTCGGATAGCAAACATTGATCGGGGATCCAGCCAGGCTTTGGGGGAGGGGGGGCGCTCATGGCCTCACGCGCTCGCGCTGGACAGCTATGCGAGCGGCCGACGCGCCCAGCGTCACACGAGGGCCAGACTCTAGAAAGGCCTGCGGCCACATGAGGACCGCTCAAGAAACCGTGAGCCCCACACGGTTGCCATCTCTCGGCAACAGGGGGCCTCTTTAGAATGCCTCCGGTTTCCGCCGGCCTTCTGTCGGCTTCCGCTGGTGGAGCGACACCCGAGCCCTACTCCCACCGACCATCGATCCTCCTGAACCGCTGGGAGGTGGGGGTAGGGTTCTGCTTCCACGAACTCCTTACCCTGCCCCCACCGCCCATCGAGTTGCCCGAATCCTTGATCGGCGAGGGTCGGGATCGGGCTTCGCCGCCGAGCAGCCGTCCCACGTTGTGGATCCGCCGCCCTCCGTGTGAGGAGGCAAACTCCCTACACCGACGCTTTTTCTGGCCCCGCATCGGCATTCGCACAGGAACGCGGATCCTGGTGTATATACGGGATCCTGATGGATACGTGTTGCGTGGTTTCCCCGGGCGAGCGGGGAAACGAGTATACACCACACCACCCCGACGTCGTCCCCGACCCTCCAAAAATCCTGGCATTGAAGAACAGCCCGCCACTGGTAATGTCTATACGCTCCAGCCTCCGACCGTGGGCCTCCGGGCGCCTCCCGCCGGGGAAGGCGCGCCGACCTCTCGACGACGACCCCACGCGGGCGCGGCACCTTCTGGAGCACCCCGCGTGCGTGCCCGGCCCTCGCCGGGGTGCGCCCCGCCACCGTGTATACTGAGACAGCCGGCCGCTCCAATTTCTTCGATGCGTGGGCCCCAGGAGGTCCCAGACAGGATCGCGTCGTTAAAACATCAGGACGGCAGTTTTTCGCTATTTTCTGCCCCTGGTGGCCCTCGCCGGGCCCTCGGGCCGTCGAAAAACGACGCAGGATGAAAAACCGGCCCTGGGGAAAGGGCCGGGACTTCCGGGGACGCCGTCCTGAAAAAAACAGGACGTCGCAGGTCTGGGGTCAGGACCACTTCCCCTGCGGCCGGTTCTTCGTCCCGATCTAGCCGTCTTCGCACGCTCCCGAGGCCCGGCAAGGGCCCCCATGGAGGCCAAAACTTGCCGAAGTTCCGCCGCCCCCCTTTTTTTTGGACGCGTCGGATCTCTGGGTGCCCGTCTGTCCAGCACCGGGCTATGGGGACTCCAACGGACCGGGGAGGGGTTCCCCGGGGGAGCAGCGGGCCCCTCGAGGGGCGGGGGGGCCCTCCAGCGGGCAGGGCGGCCCTCCCGGGCGCAAAGGCCCTGCCAGGGGCCAGGGGGCCAGGCAGGGAACGGCCAAGGCCCCCCTTCCCAGACCCCCGACGTTATGATTGTTTCGCAGCGTCGACCCCCAGAAGTTTGGACCTATTCCCCCAGGACCGGTTTCTCATCCCGGGTCGTTGTTTGACGGTCCCGAGGTCCGGTAAGGGCAGAGGCCGAAAATTGCGAGAAACCTCCCGCCGTGATTTTTTCATGACTCGAGGGGGTCTGGGTTCCAGGGGAAAGGCGGCCAGACAAGAAACGACAAGGCCCCCTGCAAGGACCAGGCGGAAGGCGCAGCCGGGAGGCCCCGACCAGCGGCCGATGCAGACAGCATCTGCTCGCCTCTTGAGGTTAGCTACGCGTGCTTGTGCATTTCCGAAGAGGCAGCGCGGCGCGGGCCTTGCACTCGCCCGCGTTGATGGCCCACACGACGCCGAGGATCGTCCAGAAGTAGGTCAGCAGGGAGACGGCCTTCGTGCGTCTGTGCTGCCGAGTAAGCCAAAGAGCAAGCGTTGCCAGACCCCCTTCGCGGGATGAAAAAAACACAGCCGGAAATGTTTCCCATCATTTTCGGCATCCGGGGGCCCTTCCCGGGCCTCGAGGCCATCAGAAAACAACTCAGGATGAAAAACCGGTCCCCGGGAAGGGGGACAGACCTCAGGGGGTCAACGTTGTGAACAAAAATAAGACGTCGGGGGTCTGGGTAGCCAGCGTGGACCCCGAACGAAGAATTCTAGCATACTATCTGGTGCAATCCGCCCTGCCGAACTTCAGATTGTCAACTCCCTTGCTCGCGCAATCATCCTACCCACCCACCCGCAACTTGGTTTGCAAAACCCGTGCGGCGCTGGCGCATCGCTGCGGTCGCGATAGCGCGCGCAGGCTCGCGCGCAAAGCGGCCAGTCAGTCTGGCGCTGACCGCCGGAGACCTCCCAGTGCGTCTCGCAGGTCGCGGTGACGCGCGGGCACTTCAGTGCGAATCGGTGGCTCGGGAGGGCGCGGTAGCATGGCGACGTCGACCACGGCAGACACCATACTGATAGTAGCGGTGATGGTGACGACGGTGAAGATGACGACGGCAAGGCCAATGACGCGGACGTGCTGATCACGCCGATGGCGACGCTGGTGCCCATGCGGGGGCGACGAAGATTGCGAAATGATTTCAATCGACATGCGCGCACGGCCGACGGGCACGGTTGGCCCGCGTGAGATAATTTGACAGGGATCGTGCCCTCCCCCCCAGCAGGCGCGCTAGGGCGTTCGAATGATTTCGACATGCACGCGCGAGAGGACAGTTTGGTCGAAATCTTATGGTATTCTTACGAACTCGCGTGAGCGCTTGCGCGCACATGCGGGCGCGACGAGACGAAGGTGTGTACCTGGTTCCGTCCTGAAGCGGACTATTGGAACCTGATGACTTGTAATAAGCGAGTGTGCGTGCAGAATACGATTTGCAAGGGATGTGGGGGTGGGCCGCCCTGGCTGGGATGATCTGAGCTCACTGCAGGAACGAACGATGAGGCAGAATCGTGTGCAAATTGCACATCCCCAGAGGGTTAAGGATAATCTGTGTGGGAGAACGGTTGCGGTGTAGGCCTTGTAGCGCACTCTGCGAGGACCCAACACCACAGGATGGTTGGGAAAAACGAATAGGGCAAACGACAGGAAGAGAGCGCCTTGCTGACGCGCCACGCCGTCGTGCTGGCCATCTCCGCGATGCAGCTGGGGATGCTACGTCGATCGACCTCGTGCCCAGGAGAAGTACAGTCAACACAACGAGTAAGGACGCCAAGGAAGAATACAATACGATTGCACACCCACGTTGAGGAGAGCTGATGCATTGGCACGGGCGGGAGCTCGTAAACCTTCTGATCTCACGTGTCCATTGGATTTTTTCCTTGGCCACCCATGGACGAGAAGGAGGGAGGAAGAGAGGGAAGGGATGAAGAGGGGGAGGAGGGGGAGTAGGCGGCGGTGGAGGCATGACGGGAGCAGAAAGAAGAGGTGACTGAGGAGGACAGGCGAAAGATGGAGGAGGCTCTCCACGCTCCCCCCATGCCCAAAACGAATACTGCTCGCCTCTCTCCCCAAAGACGTGCCGGAGAGTAGCGCGCCCCCTCCGCGCGCAAATTGTCTTACACACAGGAGGGGCCCCAATTGGTTTGTCATCTGTGCTTGTCTCACCCGATCTTTCTCGGTTCCGCGAAAAGGGGTGCACCCGCTGCAGCATGGGCCTCGTCCTAGAACTGCGGCCGGGCACCCGTCGTTCCGAATGGCGCTCTCGCCCCGGCGCCCTGCCGCTCTTCTGCATCCGAGTTGTTCTTCATCGTTGTCGCCCGCCTCTTATCCCATGCTCCGCCTTCCCCTGCTCCTCCTGCTCCTCCCGCTCCCTCCACTCCAGCTCCGGTTCCTGCTGTTGCCGTTCGTCCTCGTCCTCCTCCCTCCTCATCCTCCTCCTCCTCCTGCTCATCCTCTTGCTCACCCAGCACCTCCTCCTCCTCCTCCTCCTCCTCCTCCTCCTCCTCCTCCTCGTATGTACGCAGCTCCCCTTGCGCATGACACGATGGCTCTGGGCTCTGAGTTCCAGGTCCGCTACAACACGCGTCCCCATGTGGAGAACAGATCAACGCAGTGGGAGGGGGATGGATGAGGATGAGGATGAGGATGAGTATGAGGAGGAGGAGGAGGAGGAGGAGGAGGAGGAGGAGGAGGAGGAGGAGGAGGGGGAGGAAGAGGAGGAGGGGGAGGAGGAGGAGGAGGAGGAGGAGGAGGAGGAGGAGGAGGAGGAGGAGGAGAAGGAGGAGGCCCCAGCGGAGGAGGAGGAGGAGCGGGAGCGGGAGGGCTAGGATGTCAGGTGTGGCGCGAGCGCACCCAGCCTGTCCCTTCTGTGGCACCTCATGGAAGCATCCCGTACCGTCTTGCTGGAACTCGCGAGTCGACGCGAATCGACGCTAGGTCGATGCTGACCGACGCCAATCGCCGCACATCGACGCTAAACCGGCGCTCCCTCATCGACTACCCGACGCTAGCCGACAACGATGCACGCTAAAGACGGAATTTCGAGGGGTGGGGGGAGGGGGGAAAGGGCTTCTCAGAAGGAGGCTGCTTCTTAGCAGACGCCGCTCCTGAATCTATAGGTAAGGCCCTCGCCTCATGAGAAGCAGGGGTGACTCTCAGAAGCTCTTGCCTCTCTTCGCGTGGCTGGGATCAGGGCGAGAATGATATCATGATAAGATTGGCTCAGGGTGCGTCCCAAGATTTCCACAGCATCTGGCGGTGCAGGCGGTGCGGAACATTCGGAGAGATGGGAAAACTTGGAGATCTTCGACATGTTGAAACGTATCGTTATCATAATACCGATGCTGATAATGACATGTTCAGCTGCACCGCTGAAAACTCGATTCGAGCAATCGTGACAAAAAGGATCTGCTGGCTGCCCGGGACTCGCCTAACCAAGACGTGTGAGCTCGCTGGCTCAGCCTCCTTGGGCCAGCAGCCGGCTGCGGCAAAAACGCCGTGTTGCAACAACATGTGCTGAAGCCTTTGACGGCTCAAAGATATTAAGACATTACTAGGGAAACGAACTCTATACACCGACGAGTTTCCCGACCCTGCGCTGAAATTCGCACAGGAACGCGGATTCTGGTGTATATGGGATCCTGGTGTATACATTTGTCTTCGTTGTTTCCCTTGGAAGGCGGGGGAAAAGTATGCACCACACCACCCTGACGTCGTCCCTGACCCTTAGAAAGTCGTGGGATTGCAAAACAGCCCGCCACTGGTAATGTATATGCTCCAGTTTCCGAAATTACATCCACCTTCCAGCCCCAATCTGCCTGCCATTCACAGCTCCTCTCAGGGATCCCCTCGCCCCCTCCTCGGGGAGGGAAGGCGGAGGTCGAGCTCGGAGGGCGAGACCTCGGCCGCCCGGACGGTGCCCCAGAAGGCGAGGCGCAGGGGCACCTGGGTGCCGGGGGGAAGGAGAAGGAGGAGGAGGAGGAGGAGGAGGAGGAGGAGGAGGAGGGGAGGGGGAGGGGGAGAGGGACGAGCAGGAGGAAGCGAGAGACAGGAGAGGCAGGAGGAGGAGGAGGAGGAGGAGGAGGAGGAGGATAAGCAGGATGGGCGGCCAGGAGAGCAGACCCCGATTCCGATTCTGAGGAGAGGGAGGAGAAGGAGAGGGAGGAGGAGGAGGAAGAGGAGGAGGATGAGGCGAAGAGGGAGGAGGGAGGAGGAGGAGGAGGAGGAGACGGAGGAGGAGGAGGAGGAGGAGGAGGAGCTCTGGAGTTCTGGATACAGAGACCTGGTCGGGAATGAATGTGACGCGTTCAGCTTTGCTGAGGACCTTGGGCCCGAGATTACGAGCTATTCGATCCAAGTAATCCGCACGATTACCTTCTATCATGTCTGGCACTCATTGGGCTAAATGTACGAGCTACTGTGCTGCCAAGCAGTGCAAACCAAGGACTCCCAGCCCCGCGTTATATCTTGATGTATGGCTCTCGCCAGGGACTCCCGACTATATGGCACCCGCCGCCCAGGGGGGGGGAGGAGAAGAAGGAAGAAGAGGAGGAGCAGGAGGAGGAGAAGAGGGAGGAGGAGGAGGAGGAGGAGGAAGAGGATGAGGATCAGTGCAAGCCCAAGACTGAGAGGCCCCTACAAGGATGCATGCTCACTGTGGGAAGTGCCCCGTTGGAGGACAACACTTTGGAATTCTGGAACTTTGCCAAAACGCCACTCCTGGTACTTCAACGCCGCGAATCACCATTAATGTTCCGTCTTGACGACCCTGCAGCGTGCCAGAACATCATTCCTGGGATTTTAACACCGCGAATCAACGCGACTGTCGCGCACTGGCGTTGTTACATCGTGCGGAAACAAACTGGTTGTTCTGGGGCGCTAGCAAGGAGAATCCTTGACATTCCAACCAATTATTTATAAAAACGATTTTGCACAGCACTGAAAGGGAGAACCACATGTTGGAAAACAACGCCATCCATCCATGAAGCTGCTCCAAACGTTCAAGACGAATGCACGCGGCGCTAAAGCGAGAACCACACTTTGTTTGGAAAGGAACCGCCCTCCGTCCGTGAAGCTCTTCAAAAAAAGAGACCAATGCTCGCGGCGCTCAGGCGAGAGCCACACGTTCAAAACGATCCGCCCTCAGCCGTGAAGCACTTGCAAACTTCCAATACACGTGTGCGAACCACGTTTTGAAAGCGGCTCCTCCATCCGTTGTTGCAGCTACTGCGCTTCAGAAACATGCATGGTGACGAAGTCTCGAGCGAAGCGCACCGCCCGACCTTTCGACCGGCCTTGGGGCGGACGCAGAGGAGTTATGTATGAAGAATTGGGGTGGGGATGGAGAGTGGCGGAAAAATGAAAAGCAGAGAGGAGGAGGAGGAGGAGGAGGAGGAGCAGGAGGGAAAGGAAAAGGAGGAGGAGGAGGAGGAGGAGGAGGAGGAGGAGAGAGAGGATGAGGAGGAAACGGAGGAGGAGGAGGAGGACGACGACGAGGTGGAGGAGGAGGAGGAGGAGGAGGACAAAAAGGAGGAGGAGGACGAAGAACAGGAGGAGGAGGAGAAGGATAGGGAGGAGGTGGAGCAGGAGGAGGAGGAGGACAAGGAGGAGGAGGAGGAAAGGGAGGAGGAGGAGGAGGAGAAGGAGGAGGAGGAGAAGGAGGAGGAGGAGGACGAGGAAGAAGAGGGCCATTCTGGCCCCTGCACATGGTTGCTACCCACCACCCGCGGAAAAGGGGGCCGGCCCGAGCGCGATGTCCGCCACGCGGCGGACGGCCCGCCGCGCGACACGTTCTCGATTTAATACGTCTCGATCCACTTGAATTGCATCAAGGATGACGGTAGCATTGCGAAAATCAGCGTGACATATATCAATATTCACGTGAACACGATCAAGATCGACAAGACATAGCTCGAGATCAGCAAATGCCAAGGCCTACGAGACCTACCCACCCTGGTGGAGACCTCCCGGCAAGTATGCCGAGACCAGACACGCAAACAAGAGTACGGGCGCGAGCAAACGCGGCCCAAAAACGATTGGGGTACAACGTCCGTCATGGTATACTGACGCGATCAGACGACATTGTTATAATTGCCACGGCCATCCTCGAGATGGCGTCCAGGGCAGTCCCCGATCACCGAACCGATCACGATCCACGCGAAGAGCTTCACGACCCGCGCGCCGAACCCCACGATCAACGTGCTGACCCTCGTGACCCACGCGCAATACTTCACGATTGCTGCGTGGAACTTCACACTCGCCGTGCTGATCCCCACGATCTGCGAAGGGAACCTCACGATCTGCGTACGGAACCTCCGAATCTGGGCACGGAACCCCGCGATCATCGCTCCGAACCTCGCGGTCGCCGCACGGACCCTCGCGCCGAATCTCACGATCCATGCGCGGAAACCCACGGCCAGCGCAGCGAACCCCGTGGTCCACGAGTGGGATTTCGCGACGCATGGCCCGGCGGGAACCCCGAGGCCCCGTTCCCGCCCCGAAGCATTACGATCCGCGAGGGCGACGGCTGCGAGTGCGAGTACGGGGTCTTCGACGACAGCTGCCAGTGCGACAGGCGCGAGCACAACAACGAGATCGACGCGAGCCCAGGATGGTGGGGCGGGAGGCGTGCTACCACGACAGAAAAAGCTGGTTACGCCGTCGTCGATGGAGTTCCACATGGTGTGCCAGCGCCAGCTGCTGAGCTGCGTGAGCCACCCCCTGAGCTACGAGGGCCACAAGATGAGCTAAGAGGGCCATGAGCTGAGAGAGCCACCAGCTGAGCCACGGAGGCCACAAGCTGAGCTACAGGGGCCATGCGCTGAGCTACGAGAACTACCAGCACAACCACCAGTGCCACTGGTCGAACTACGAGGGCCCCCCGTTACGGTACGAGGTTGGCCACCAGAGCTACGAGCAAAGCGACCAGCACAGCTCCGAAGGCCTCAAGCCGAGCTACGAGAGCCACCTTCTCAGCTACGAGGGCTGCCAGCAGAACTAAGGGGACCACCAGCAGAGCTTCGACGACAAGAAGCAAAGCTTCGAGAACCAGGCGCAGAGTCACGAGGGCAACCCACACAGATCCCAGAACTACCAGCAGAGCTAGGAGGGCAACACGCAGAGCTGCGAGGGCCAATTCAGTGCACTAGGAGGGTGTCGAGCAGGGCTTTGAGGACCACCGACTGATCTACGAGAGCTAAACTACGAGAGCCACCATCCCCAGCCTCCCTGCCACCTGGCTGGAACAGCTACCTCGACCAGCAGGGGTGACGCTACTACCACCACACGGTCATGGACACGACGACGTGGACGCCGCCGTACACCAGGCCCTCCGACATACCCCTTTCGCAGCTGCCTAGAAGAAGCCGCCGAACCACAGAGGCATAGAGGAGGAACGCGCCGACAAGAGCGACGAAGGGGGCAACGACGGGCACGACGAGCACGAGAAAAACGACGAGCAAAGCAAGCCCGAGCAGAGCTACGAGGCCCCCCGCAGAGCTGCCAGGGCCACAACCAGAGCGTCGAGAGCCACCAGTAGAGCTACGAGGGCTATCTCTCGAGCTAAGAGGATCACGAGTCGAGCTACACGGACACCGAGTGGAGCTTCGAGGGTCACCAGCTGAGCCGCTTGAGCCCGCAGAACTCCGAGAACCACCCCCCCTGTTCCTCGAGGGCTGCCAGACGAGCTTCGAGGGCCACCCGCGGAGCCTCGAGGGCCACCCGCTGCACTGCGGGTGCTGCCCGCCGATCCGCGAGAGCCGCCGCCAGAGCTACCAGGGCCCCCTGCTCAGCCTACGGGGGCAACCAGCAGAGCCACGGGGGGCCACGAGCTGAGCCTCTTGGGCCACCGGCTGAGCTGCGAGGGCGAGCCGCCAAGCTGCGAGGGCGACTTCGGCCACCGGCGGAGCCACCAGGGACAGACGCTCGGCTACGAGAGCCACCGCTGGAGGTACGACGACCACCTGCAGACCTACCAGGCCTTCCACCTGAATTGCGAGGGCCACCAGCCAAGCTGCGAGCTCTACCAGCAGAGCCACCTGAGCAACGAGGGCGACCAGCTGAGCTACGACGGCCACCAGAAGAGCTTCTACCACACGATCCACGCAATGAGGTGGAGGCCGCGGCAGCCAGAGGGATCGCAGCCACCTGCCGGGACAAATGGGACAGAGAACTCCAGCTGCGGATCCATATCATAGAGACCGTTTACGAAGCGGGCCGCATCTCCTACGACGAACACCAAGAGCACATCGCCATCCCGCACCCCCGTAAGAGAGGCCTGTTTACGGCCCTACAAGAGCTACCACATGATCTTCGAATGAAACCCGCGATTATTGCGCGGCCGGCCATCACAATAGGCGACACTTGCCTGCCTGCAGCTAGCAGGCTACGGACCAGCTTGCTACGCCATAACGCCTACAGCGCTCATTCGTACGTAGAATACACCGCATACTGCCGTACCGCGTCTACAACGGTACGGACAAAGTACGCCGTGCATCCCGCTACTGGCAGGGTATTACTATATACGGCGTTCCTCCTCCTGTCTCCTCCCCTGGAACGGTCGGACTCCGGCGGCGAGGGCTCGGCGCGCCTCGGGCCCGTAGGTCCGCGCCGCGTGCGGCACGGGCGCGCGCGGTCGGAGGCGATGGCGACGCTGCGGAGCGGTGCGAAAAAGAAAGGAGGAGGCGCGAGCAGCCTGAGGCGCGACCGAATGACGAAAGCGCCTGGCCCAGAAGAGGGAGGCCTCACATCGCCACGTCCACCGGCGGGTGCGGCCCTTCCTCGCTGTAATTATCGGGGGCGTGGACGCGGCCGGCAAACGAGGGACATGTAGAGGCGATCGTCGAAGCCGAACACCGGGCCCCAGCGGTTCCAGCATGCCCAGGGCGACGTCCACGAGCTGCACCGAGGTGTCATCCGCATCCGAGCAGCGGATGGAGGCGAAGCTC